AAGTTTGTCTTGTAAAATATTTCTTTGACAATAGAAGAAAACACAACCCACGTGCAGGAAATATATAGACTATTACAAAGAAGAAGAAGTAGCCATAACACCAGACCCCAGAGAGAGAAAAAAGGAATACCAAGGCATCCACAGTGGTTACCTCTTTCCCAGCTGTTATCTCTGCACGTGTCGAGTACACCTCACATCCACACCTACTATATCTTTGAATGTGTCTTTGAATATTGTGTACACCTACTATATCATTTCATGTATATTTTTTAACTTTATTTTTGGGATGGTTTTAGACTTACAGAAGAGTTACAAAGACTGTGCATAGAGTTCTGCATGTTCTGCACCCAGGTAGCCATGTAGACTTATCAAAACTAGGAGGATAACAAGAGTACTATTAATCAAACCATTGGCTCTATTTGGATTTCTCAGTTTTCCCACTAATGTTCTTTGCTTCTGTTCCAGGTTCTGACCCAAAAGCCCTCTTTGTATGTACATGTCCTTTAAAAAAAACACACACATTTTTTTTTTGATGGAAACAATATCTTTATTTTATTTGTTTATTTTTTATGTGGTGCTGGGGATCGAACCCAGTGCCTCACGCATGTTAGGCAAGCGCCCTACCACTGAGCCACAACCCCGGCCCTCCCATGTCCTTTGGATACAGTAATTCTAATTGTACATTAACTTTTCATATATGCACTCCCCATTCCAAATGCGGCCTTAACACGTCAGGTGCATTCTGCTGTAAGCTTTCTGTCCTGTTCCTTCTTTTGCTACCCTCCACGTGTTGCTTTTGTTTCTTTATTATCCTTCTCAGAAACCTTCATTCTTGCATTAAGAGAAAACACAACCTACTCAGAAGAGCATCAGGGACTCCGCACTCTAGTCCAGGCCTGCCCACTCTTCCCCAGTGTGCACTGGCCTGGGAGCTTCCTCCCATCATCCCATCTGCCCAGTCCAGCTAGCAGAGAGTGCTCCCTCCTCTGCCTGTGTACAGCTGTTACTCTCTGAGGAATTGGCCTAGTATGATTTGATATTATTTCATGTCTGAGTTCCCAACCAGTCCGTGATTTTCTCTGGAGAACTAGCTCATCCACAGCACTGCATCTCTACCAAGTATTACATGGTTGAGTTTAATGGTCATGTACTGATTCAGCTGCTGGTCACCTTCGATCATAATGATAATGAAAACAATGGCATCTCTGGCTTCCGGGTCCAGCACCTAAGGAGAGTGCAAGCCATCACTAACATCTCAGCAACCAAAAAGCCAAACAAACAAATGTAAGGAGAATCACTGCCACTGATATTGGTCACAGGAGCAAAAGAGTGAATCCCATCTTACCAGAGCAGAAGGTCACAGACACCTCTGGGGGAGCCAGACCCAAGTGGAAACCTAAGCTGTGACTAACGAGTTGCTGGGAGCTCAATGGGGACATGTTTGAGAGTTGAACATCATGGCTCATGCCATCCGTGCCCTCACCATGTTCTAGGAACCTCCCTAAACACTGTATGTGTATCAGCTGATTATCTCTCACAAGAGCCTTATCCTCATTTCACAGATGGGAAAACTGAGGCTCATGGAAATTCCTTAAGTTTCTTAACATCACTTAGCTAATAAATGTCCAAGCCAGGATGTCAATCTAGGTGAACTGGCCCCAGAGATGACAGTCTTGATGGTGACGCTGTGTTTGTCTAATACCAGATACCAACCCCCATGCACTCAAGATGGCTGGAGCCAGTCGCTGGACACCTAGCCTGTCCATCTCTTGGCTTGAGCAGCACTCCTTGCCTCTCACAGTAGGAAACTGCTCTTCCCGCACCTCCCCTGGCACTTGGACCACCTTCCCTAAGCTCACCTACTACGTTAGGGTATAAGGTTTATTCTCCCTTTAACTGCCCAGTACCATATTTCTAAAGACCACTATAAAATGCCTCTCCATCAAAATCTCTGCTAACATCATTCCTTAAAACTCGTGATGCTGTGGGCTCTGCATATCTCCCTCCCAGGACAACTGGGTACTACAGTGTTGTGATGCATGATGAATAGGTGTTCTCTATGTGAGGCGCATTGCTAGTAATTAAACAGTATTAATTCCATCAGCTTTGATTTGTATTCTGCTCACTTGGTAATAAGTCTCAGTATTTTCTTTATGCCTAGTATTGAGTAATAGAATTGTTGTTTACAGATTATCAGCTAAAAATCTACTTTTTTGGTCAGTCAGTATTGGGAATTTTTTTTCAATATATTAGAAAAGTATTTATTATTTCCTAGTTTATAAAAATAATTAAAAGCTATAGGCCAAATACAAATTCCTAGGACACAAATACTTGACTGGTACTCCACTGTGAAGTAACACGGTTGCCAGTTTCTTAGTTTCTGAGTTTCTTTAAGAGAACTTGTGCCTCTTTGTTCAGTGAAGGACTTAGGTGACAATTCCTCCCAGCATTCCCAGGAGTGAGAAAACTCAAGGCTACACACCAAAAATGTAAAAAGGCCTACTTCTACATTGTGTGCTTATAGCAATTCAGAAATGACTTGTTCTAAAATAAAAACTACTTGAAAAATGAAACAATTCTTAAAAATAATTCCCAGGATGTAAATAAGTGCTCACACTGACCAAAAAACAAGAACAACAACAACAACAAAAAGAACCAAGAAATAGAGAAGTATCCGTAGATCTCATCCATCACTGTAGTATCCAAGTTTCCCCTTAGATAAAACAGACATAAAATGTGTGTTTTACAAGCCTCAGATGACCTTCAAGACATCTATGGATGTATCTATGGATTTTTAAATATAATTAACAACTCCTGTTTTTCCATTTAAAGAACTGAAATTCTGTTTCATTGACAGACAAGAGCCGATCAATCTTGTTCTCAAATGCTAATATAAGCAATTAAATATAACAATAATTGAAATACTGCAGGGGCTGTTAGACTTTTGGTTGATGGGGGTTTCCCTTTCTTTTCTGTTCCTCCTGGCAATACAAATTCATGGACTAATTACAGAAACACCTTTCTTGGGATCCATCTCGTGGTGGAAGAGCTCACCTTTAAAACCCGTCAGAGGGCTGCAGAAGGCCACAGCACTGTTAGGAAGCTTGGGTCTTCAGTGGTGAGAATTTGCTCATTTCACGTGGTAGACCCAATGTGACAGATTGTTTTATTTACAATGAGAATATTAATTTTCAGGTTTGGGTAAGGAAAATAGTATTCATTTGTATTGTTGTAAAACTTGTAAATATGCCCTGTAGGATAAGTAATACTCAAAGCAACATCCTAATTAAAAAGAAAACTCAGTTGTCTTGCAATATAAGAGGGCACATAAATTGTAAGCAAGATACATGGTAAAAATGAAAAAGACAGTCTGGATAGGAGAGGAATGAAATAAGGTTTGGAAATGTGCTTCTTAAATGAACACAAATTGTGAGATAATGTCTCATTGAACAATAAAAATAACAAACCAGTGGCAAAGATGTAATAGAATTTCCCGTGTATACCATTTTAATCTTAATATAATTTTCCCCAGTGCAACCACGTTTATTGAACTACCATGACCATTTCTTTCTTACTCTGTCCAAAGTTGCTGAAAGTGTGCACTTTGCTGTAAATAATTCCTTGATAATGAACATGAAAACGATCCAGAAATTGACCACAGTTTATAAAAGAAAAAAAATGACATAGCATCTGCTGGCAGAGCGGGGGCTGGGATGGGGCTTCAAGGATGCCAGAGGCGTGGGTAGTTTCCTCTGAGGAGCTGAGCCACAGCACAGAACCGGCTCCCCACCTCTAACTGGATCACCAACTCCACACTTGCTTGTTTTTGTTTTGTTTCTTTTCCTGTCTCCAAAAAGTTCATAGAAGCCTTCCACGGACCCCAGCCCTGTGGTGTGCTGGGCAAGGGCTGGTGCCAAGAAGTTTCCAGGGCTGCTTAACCAGCACTGATGCTACTTGAGAAAAATGCACATCCACACTGTCGCAGATCCAGTCTGCAAAATGGGATGATGACACTTGGTTACTTCAAGCCTGATTAACACGGGGTGTTTGGCCAATGCTACTGAAATATAGACACAAGGGACCGAACTCCCCATATGTGAAAGGTGCTGAAGAGGAGAAATGGAGTCCAGAGTGCTCCCTGCATCCACTACTGACCCCTCCTGAGGAAACTCAGTCCAATTTCCAACTTCTACCAGTCCCGTGCGTATCTCGAACATTCTGACTATGAATGTAAGGAGCCCCCGCTCCACCTTCTCTTCCACTTTCTGCTCGTTTGATTCATGTGCTTATTTCACACGGGTCTAAAATCTAAAAGGAACCTTCAGAGGTCGAGACTCTGCTCTGCTCATTACCTTGCTTTGAATTTGCTGCCGTCTGCCATTGAATCTGCCTTTTGCTGAAAATCAGTACTCAAGAGACTTTTCGATGTCTAAATCATTTTATTATTTTATTGTTTTCCAAAAGTTCTTAGGTAACAGAAAAATGTATTTGTCCAAGCATAGGCAAACCGTGTGCCAAACATATCAACAATGCATTTTATTAAATAGATTCTCAATTAACTCCTTTGTGACAAAAGAATGTACGACAGTATAATGTTACTTTTAGCTTTCATTTCTTTATTCTAGGTTAAATAGTGACAAAATGGTGATGATCACACAAAATGGATAGACTAAGGACAAGTAGCTGTGTAACCAGGATATGTTAAGCTGGTAAAAAGTATCCTTGTGATAAGTTGTGGGTCATCACAATTGCAAATCATCAGAATATTATCTCTATAAACTTTGCATCATTTTTTCCTAGAAAAAAATTCTAAGGATTTAAATTGAGCTTTCCAAATATATCTGTTTTTTTTAATATAAAAATCAATTTCAGTGGTTTTCTATTTTATTTTTTTAAAACCCTCATTAATCAAAATACAAATAGAGGCCATCATTAAATATATTCCCAGGCATTACAAATTCAGATTTCATAATAACAGATCAGCAGGTACAGAGGCAACCTGAGGTCATCTGAGAGATCATCACTGAAGCAGATTTCCTTCCAGCAGCAGAGGTGTCCTCTCCAGGGGTTACTGCCCAGCCACCATTTCTACAAAGCCCCCTCCAGGCCATTGCTTCGGATGACCTTGGCATACTCCTTGGCTGATGTATAAGGGATCCGAGGTCTAGCTGGGTCTTCAAAATCAACATGAAAAAGACCAAACCGAAGGCTGTATCCATCACACCACTCAAAGTTATCCAGAAGGGACCAGGCACAATACACTTGAAGATTGACTTTATCAACATGGATAGCTGAAATTTTTAAAAAAGAAAAAAAATCACCATTTCTGGATGAGGTTTGAGAACACAGGCAAAATTACTAATGAGTACTCTGGGTCTCTTTCTCCTGCCCTTACAGAGATCTAAGTGGCAATAGGAATAGGAAAACCTGCTTTCTTCTCTTTTTACACACACACACACACACAAATAGCATGTGAATTAATACGAATATTAATTAACTAGAGATAGCCATTCCACAGTGTGTGTATATATAGACACACACACACACACACACACACACACAATATCAAAGCATCATGTTTTACATTGGAAATGTACAATTTTTATTTGTCAACTTAAAAAAAATCCCCTTTTTCAGTTTTCTGCTTGAACCAAATAGGGCTTCATTCAAGAAGTTAGATATTATTTTAATTATGTAGCCATTTATTCATTTTGACATTTGTTTTATTCTTTCACCTACTCAGTGCACTATTTTAAATATCTATGACATTTCAGACCCAAACACACACACACACACACACACACACACACACACATCCTTCCCTAGTACCTAGGAGAGTATTCAGTAAAAACATTGCCCAGAGTCTCAGTACAGCCTTCAATAGCTCAGTAAATCCATTGGTGAGTTGGAACAGGTAGCAGCAGCATGCCTGAGGGAGTCGCAGAGCTCACCTTTTATCCTCATGACCAAGATATGTCTTAAAAGTTTGGAAACAGAACCTCCAAAATGAAAAGGTTCAGCACATGGCTCTAGCCATGCCTATATCCTTGACTGACTAAGTACTAAACTGCTGTGGCTCCTGTCTCAGTCCAGTGGGGTTACTGTAATACAATACCATAGACTGGATGACTTATAAACAACAAATTATGTATCACAGTTCAGAAGGCTGGCAAGTCCAAAATCAAGATGGTAGCAGATGCGGTCTTTTGGGTAACCGTGTCCTGGGTTATCAATAACTGCTTTCTTGCAGTGTCCTCATGTGGCAGGAGTGGGAGGGGGTTCTTTCATGGCTCTTCTTATCTGGTCACTAATCCCATTCATGAAGATTCTGTCCTCACGACCTATTCACCTCCAAAGTCACCACCTCTTAATGCCATCTCACTGTGGGGGGTAGGATATCAACATGAATCTTGGGGAGATGAAACATTCATTCTACATCATGTAGAGTCATGTTTAAGTCCTTTAATAACAAAAAAAATAATCTCCCCCCAAACTGCATATATTCATAAACATGATGCTCCACATAATGTCATTTGTGAATGTTCTAAGCATATCCACGCATTTCACATCAGGGTGGAGAATTCTTTAAATAATTTTACAATGCTTTCCATTGTTTTACTCAATAAATTTAGCTCACTTTTTAACTAGTATTTTAAGTTTAGCAAAACTCTCAGGTTGTGTGAGTCTTTGTATGGAACATTTTCTTTTTTAAAGCCAGAATAAGTAAACCCAATTTATGCAACACACTAATATTCATTTCTCAGCACGGAAATTAAATGAAAAGGCAAGTTGGTTTCACAAGATGGCCATATTCCTAAATAAGCTGAGTGAAAAATGAACATTCACATAATAAATCAGATTTTTAATTGTTCTGGGAACTAATTTCAACCAAAATGACTCATCTCGCTAAACTTTCAACAAAGCAAGATCCATTCTTTAATTTTTCCTTTGGTATCAATCTGTATTTTTCAGGTTTCCTAAAAACACTACGCCCATATGCCCATATTCTTGTACACATGCACTGGTTTCCAAATCTTGGGATTTTTATTTTTTTGACTGAGGATATTTCTATAGACAAAAGGTCCTTGATGGGTTGATTGACAGAACCCCTCCACATTTGTGCCTTGAGGCATGCATGGTACTCTGCTTAGAGAAGAACTTACAAATGCCCTAAGAGGGCAATTAAGTTCAGCTGGATTGTCTCTTTTTAAATAAAGTGATCTCTGTCCATAATCTGGAAAATATCATTTCCATATAATGTATTTTTAGAGACCTAATTTGAGGACCGAATGGCATCTTTCTAAGTACCAAAACAGCCAAAGCCAAATACCAGGCTAGGAAACAATAATCTACTTTGCTTTGTAATTCATCCTGGGGATACTTGAGAATCTGCATATTTTCTTTCTCATTTGCAGAACTACTACCCAACAAGAAAGCCCGCCAGGTATATAGCCAGGCAGTTCCTGGAAACACACAGCCCCACTGATCACGCATAAAAGGAGTGATTCATGTGCGAAACCAGGGGATAAAAACAAGGCCCTGCCTGCTTGGAAGGGAACAAAAAGGAAATCTTGACAATTTCATTGTTAACTGCCAGGAGTTCAACAGCAAGCTCTAAACCGCCCGAGTGACACTGGTAGATGTCTCTGCGCTTTCGCTGCAGGAACATTCAAGTAGAGAATTACCTAGTTAGGGCTGAGAAACTAGCCTGCTGGAATCCCCACCACCCCACCGCTGGGAAAAATGACAAAACCACCCTGGACCCTTCACGCTTCTCCTCCTCCCATCTCCTCTGGAATGCACAGAGACCATCATCACGTTTCTTGTCACCATGATTTATGAGGTCCCAAATCTTGGCAGGGAAAAACACTTCTGAGAGTTTGCTTTCTTTCTTTAACCAGAGTTGGAAGCAAACTCAACAAGGACCGACAGAACTTTGGATGGGAACACAGCACGCAAGGATAAAAATGGTACTTATCTTCAAGTCGTAGTGTGATGTGAACCGGGAGGCTGTGGAAAGGGTCTCACGGCCAGTAGGTTGGATATAAAGATGCAAGGAGAAAAACTGCTAAGTCTCGCCTCAGTCAGGCAGGTTCTAATTATAAGAACCCCATGCTAATGTTGTATTATATGACTCCATATGTATATATATATATATATGTGTGTGTGTGTGTATATATATATATATATATATAGAGAGAGAGAGAGAGAGAGAGAGAGAGATGTGCACACGTGTGCACAAACACACGTACACATGCACAAGCACGCGCTGTCCAGAAACAGCCAAACTGAAAAGGTTAAGGGCACAATGTCAACCATAAGACCACTCTCACATCTGAAAATATCTTCAAGTTCAAGCGATTCCCCAAATCACCCTGGTTTTTGCAATTTGCTAGAAGGACTCAGGGCAACTTACTGAAAACTGATATTCCTGTGGTTATGACTGTTACAGGAAAAGGTAGAGATTAACATCAGCTAAAAAAAGATTCCTGATGCAGAGTCTGAGGGATTCTAAACAAAGCTTTCATTATCCTCTCCCTAGGAGTCAGGACACATTATCTCCTGGTGCTGACATGAGGCAATTCAAATAAAGCATTGCAAACAAGGGAAGGACACGAGAGCTTCATTGTCCAGAGCTTTTACTGGAGACATCATTACATAGACTTGATTGATTGATTGATTGATTGATTGGTATGTGGATGAACTTGGTTTCCTGGTGAGCCGGTGACCCAAGGCCCAAATCACATGGTTGATCTTTTGGGTGTGACTATCCCCATCCTAAACACATTCTTGTTAAGAATGGCATGGATTACTTCCTAGAAACTGAGAGCAAGAGACAAACCACTCTTAGGGGAAAGTCAAATTCTTTACTGCACACATGCATACCCACTCAAACACAAACACACTTACTTTAGAAATTCATTATTCATGGTTCTCAGAGGAATATTCTCAAGTTACTGGCTTATGAAACACCATAATTATGCCTGTGTTTATCAAATTACAAATGCCTAGAAATTGGGAACTCGGGGTCAATTTCTCACAATTTATCAACAGAGATAGTCTGCAGGATTTTTTTAGGATTGTTGTGGGATATCTATGAATGTGCCAAGACTATGTAGTCATCAGACAAACCACTGATCCACAGACTCAAACCTCCATGACCAGAGTGAGACAAAAGGCTCAGCATGGCACAAAAGGGAGCCTCACCACAGAAAAATGAGAGCAATAAAGCCCCAGGAACATGCAGAAAGAAAAATCAGACTTCCAGACTTCCGAGTTCAGGTAATGGCAACCTACGTTATTTGAGCAAGTCTTTCTAAAGAAAATGAATAAAACACACCAGATAAAGTATTTTAAGTAAATCTTCAAACCAGTGGAAAGCTAACAGTTTGGCAGGCATCGTCAGGGCTAGTTTCAAAGTGAAATATGAGATGGATAGACATGGCAGCTACTTTTTCCTGATAGAATTTTCCAGTCTTCAGAACTCTGAACTATTTTTGTTTTGTTTTTGTGAGATGAGGTGAGGATAAGTGTTCAAACCCAGAAGCACACAGAGTGGGAATTCTAGAATGAAATTCCATATACAGAAATCTAAAACCCTGAAGGAATGAATTCTCAGGGTAGGTGACAGTGGTCCAGAGGGAAGCTAGACATTGGGACATATCAAGTCACCTGACTGTTCAGCGAACATCTACTCTGCCGGACAGAGTAGTACCCCCTATATGCACATCCAAATTTGTTTTGAATGGAAGTATCTATATTCCAAACTTTTAATTATTATTATGAAGATTTTAAAATGTAATCATAGTACAGAATCAAATAAATATAACCAGGCAAATGTAGAAAAGTGACCAAGAAAAGAAAATTAAGGGAAAACAGAAACAAACTCACAAAGATCTCAGTTATCAGAATGCCATACAGACTATACAATAACCAAGTTTGTTGTGCTCAATGCATAAACACACATTTGAAACATCTTCAGGGTTTAAGAACCCACAAAACTGAAGGGGCACACTTGGAAACGGAACCTCTATGGGCTCATGTTCAATGCCAGATGCACCAGTTCCCAGCTCAAGGGAGCGTCTCACTTTTCATTGATACCTACTGCTAGAACTGTTGTTAGGATTGAATGGGATTAGCACAGCCCCCAGCACGATGCCCAAAGCACCCTGGGTTTCTGTAGTTTTCCTCATCTTGCCTCCCCTTTGAAAAATGCAGAATCCAAGGTAAAAATATAAGAATAGGGACAGAGGCCTGGAATGCACGTGGACAGAAGAAAGACTATGTGAGG